CCCAAAGCGACTTCGACGCAGCGTCTCGTTCCCTCGGGGAACCATGGTTACATACGTAACCTAGAGACGTTTTCTCAGTATTTTGATTTTTTTTGCACCCTCAGATTCCAGATTTTCAAATAGTAGTATCTCAGCCAAATATTGTCATATCATAACAAACCATACATCAATGGAAAGCTTATTTATTCAGCTTTCAGGTGATGTATAAATCTCAATTTCGAAAAATTGACCCTTATGACTGGTTTTGTGGTCCAGGGTCACATATGGTGTATATGTTAAATGCACAGCAATAGTTATTAAGTTTCTAAATTTTAAGACAGTTCCATTCCCTGCCCCAAAATTTCATGCTCTGAATCTGTCAGACTCTGTTCCGTGTTTTGTGGTTGTTTTCCTCATGTGCCTTCCTTTCCCATGTTTAATTTGTCCCAGGTGTTTCCCATGATGTTTCATTGCTCGCAGGTGTGTCTCGTCATCCCCTCCTCCTGTGTGTATAAATAGTGTTCCCTGTGTGTGCTCCAGCATCCGGTATTGTTTGTGTCTACAGTGCTACGTGTGATTCCCCGTGAAGATGAATAAATTCCTTGGTTTCTGTACTCTTGGTCTCCTCGTTCCTTGCTCCGTGTTCCCGCACTGTAGCAGATCGTGATGGAATCTGTGTTTCTGCAGCAGCTTTTTTCTCCACATCCGCACAAGTCGTACACAGTTACAACCAAAACTGTTATAATGCTGAAGACAATGAGTAGAACATAACTTGCCATTTGAAAGACAATGCAGAATAATTTGTGTTAATAATACTACTACCTGACTGTACATAGTTGTATTATGATATTAACTAGGCAATATTGAGTCAAAAGTTGAATTACTAAAATATTTACACAGTGTGTAATGTTCAGTACAGCGAAAAAAAAACCCGAAAAAAAAAAAAACCTTGTAAGTACATACAATTACTGTTAATTACTATTATTACATACAATTAAATACAGGAGAATGCACTTACCTTTGACACCACAATATGAATAATAGTCAGATCTCGTAGAGAAGTCTCTCTGTCTGCGTCCTTTCCAGTGGTTTTGCACCATTTTATTTGCAGCACTTCATCATAAACATATTCTCCTTCCCAGTCTGATGGACCACATGCAAAATAATCACCATCATACAACAAAAGCATTACCCAAACCAAGGGAGGAATTAGGCAGTGCAGGAAAGATTTAAGACAGAGACAGAAAGTATTGCATCTTTTCTTTCTGTCTGGACATGCTGCGCAGATGCATCCTAGTGAACACCAGATATTGGTGTTTTTCAAAGGTCTTGTTAGGAGGAACATTAACATAAAAGCAAAACAAGGAGGTGCAGCGAACATTAAGCTTGTTAGTTCTTCATGCCATAGTCTTCCACATGGGCATGAAAATTGGGTGTCAATCAATGCCTCTAATCCAAATAACAAAAGGCTCAATGGAAAAGTGGCGAAAACAGCAGTTGTGTCCAGATAGCTCTTAAAGTTCTTGGAAAAGTTTTGTAGAACCGACATCTTTTAAGGGCAACACAACACATATGTTTAATGTTTTTTTTTGTCTTTGTCTGTGGAAATACAAAAAAGTTGGTGAGCTGATTCTGTTTGATTAACAGAATAATAATAATTAACAATAGCCATTTATCAAAATTGTTTCTATGAGGAAAACACAAATAAAACAGGTTAAAACTCCATCTACATCTTTTTTTTTTTTTTTTTAGAATTAAAGATACACAGTTTAACATGTTACAATAATAAAACTTAACATCAACATTAATGTTATGCAATATCAACATAGTACAAAGGACATTACCTTTAAAACAAAGTGGTTCTCGGAAAAGAAGACGGAGAAAAAAGTCCTATAGATTTGTTATCAGGTGATGCAATGGAAAGTGGTTTAGGCTATATATGCTCTGCTGTATATTGTGTTTGCACAGATCCCTGACTTGTCAAATACTATATATTGAAGCATGGGCAGGTACCAGCACTATTTCCTTCCCCTTAAATACCTCTGCTGTATGCGTAACATATAGCTACATTCTCAAGATGCTCTTGAGTATACATCATCTAACATTACATTCCTACGTTTTATGTTTCACTTACATTTTTTATATTATAAAGTGAAAATGTAAAGGGATTATGTCAACTTTGTGTATTGTCAATACCCTCTCTACACTGTGTAAACTGAGCAAATGATAAATAAACCTGTCTTTTCTCTTACACTTTTAATTGTACACTTAGGGTGTGAAAATGTCATCAACCAATGGCTGTGACAACATGCCTCGAGTTTACTTGTTCCATACATTGGTGGATTTTTAGACTGTGACAAGTGGGAGCGGGGCCGAGAGCCATGGGAACGGAGCGAGGCCGGTGGAGTAATTGATGATGAGTGACACCTGCACCACTCACCGGTCTCGAGTCCCACGGAGGAGCTCCGGAGGGATAAAAGGAGGAGTGACGACAGTGAAAGACGAGAGAGGACCAGGCCTGGACTTTATTTTGTGTGCGACAGTCGTCCGCGAGAGGCTGTTGCGCTATTTTGTGTTTATTTTATTATTAAAGTTTTCTTTGAATGTTCGCCGGTTCCTGCCTTCTTCTTCCCGAACTACGAACGTTGTTACATTGGTGCCGAAACCCGGGAGGAAGGAGGGACACGCTGCCAGAGATCCCTCGCCGCTGTGGTGAGTCCGCGGTGCCATCGAGCATGGCGGAGCAGTCTGCCGCCGTGGACGCTCGAGGCGGTGGGCTGGAGTGAGTTGCTGGGGGGGCGGACGAACTCGCTGCCGGCCGCCTGGGCTGTGGAGGGACGGCTGCCGTCCGTGAGGGAGCGGAGGAGTCGCTGCCGTGCTGTCACGCACAAACAGAACCAAAACACAAAATAAAATCCAGGCCTGGTCCTCTCTCGTCCAACACTGTCGTCACTCCTCCTTTTATCCTTCTGGAGCTCCTCCGTGGCACTCGAGACCGGTGAGTGGCGCAGGTGTTGTGCATTAGCATTTACTCCACCGGCCTTGCTCCGTTCCCACGGCTCTCGGCCCCACCCCACTCGTCACATAGACATTCCATGAAGATGTGCCAATGAAATGCAATTTAGCAGACACCAAAAGGCTGTTATTGTAACTCGACATCACTTGCAAGCAAAATGCATACAAATAAAACTTTCAAATATAGAAATCTGATTTTTTTTTTTATTACCCAGTCAACAATTTGATCTCACAATGATGTCACCATGAGCTCACATGATTCTCATGGTGTGGTCACAATATGTGTGTCACAGTGAGCTAAAAGTGTAACCACACAGCGCACTCACTGTGGATGTCACTGTGATCATCGCATGATCTCACGTGTTGACTGGGTATTGTTTTGGCTGCTTCGGTTTCTTGAAATATCCAGGAGTGAAGTTTACTGGATTTACATTGCCTATATGAAATTGATATAATTTGTTTCATTCAAACATGTCAACATGTTGTGGTCTTATTAAAACATTCCTAAATGAATGATTCCCAAGACTGCGAACACAATACCCAGAGGCAGGTTTATTAATGTTTTCACTTTTACTTAGCAAGAGATTTTTTTTTTTTTTTTTATATTACATCAAAACATAGTCATATTGTAGAAACATCTACAAATGCATACATGCTGGGACAACATCAACACACCCATAACAATTCCCTTACTTTATTAACTTAGCAAATCACACCTATAACAACTAAAGACAGGATCTGTACTTTGATTCATCAACTAAGTTAAGCCACAAACCAGTCAAACATGACTGGATGATTTCCTGCTCAGTATGGAATGATACAAACAAGATAATAAAGTTATTCTAGAAACACACACATCACACACATTCTAGTATCACACAACACATACAAGGAAGAGATGCATGCATAATACCTGGAAATCTTTGAAAATGTACTATTGTGGATTGTAGTATTTCAGTGTGATTTGTTGCTTTTAAAGAAAGTTGTATCTTTACACTGCAATTCAAAGGCACGTTATGTAAACTTACAGAATAAAACATTACTACAATACTGTGACTAATGATATTGCATTAAGTCATAAACATTACATTTAATTTAAAGCAAATCCAATTACTAATAGCAGAATAAAACAAATGAAATGTACATGAGAAAATACTTGCACTTTCGGAAATAGAATATATACAGAATGTAAACACAGCATATGATCTGGAATTGATCTATTAAACTTTTTCTTCTATTTCTACAACTTGACTTGGATGTCTGTGTCGCGAGCCGTCATCTTGAAGCTTGCCCATCTCATGTTGCACACTTTGGTTCTTGCGTAAGTCTGCCAACAGATCAGTCCGTTCCTCAACTTTATTTTCTGGATCTGCACTTCTGCAGCAGGCTGAATTGCGACCTTTGTTGCAGTCGTTAGCAGTCACAATAATAATTGCTATAATGCAGAAGACAAATGCCAGGCAATAACCTATACACTGAAAAAAAGAAGAAGATAAGAATCAATAAATAAGGAAAACATTTGAACAAATACTTACTGCTATTTACCGCTTCTGAGTTCATAGTTAGAAACAGTGTTGTCAAGTAGGCCTACACGGCTTTCCCGTGGAATTGGAATACTTTTACACTGTTGCCGCATGTTGTTGGTCCTAAGCAGACGCGACGCGACACAGCCTATCTGTTCCACACGAGTTTTTGTCCTAACCATCCGCGACACGCGACAGTGGATTTTATTTATAAACGGTTCTATTCCTTCGACATAGCGGCTGGTTCGAAAAACATACAATGACAATGATAATCTCTGATTATGTATGTTATTCATAGTTAAAAGTTTCTAATGTGAGTTTGAATATCATTTTGCGTGACCTTTATAGCCATACTGAAAGCAGCAATAGATAGCTTAGGCCTACCTCAGATCTTTAAAATAAATTAAAGCAAACATGTAAGTTAAAACTGTCAAAAATGTATACCAACAAGTTTATTCTATAAAAAAGAGGTTATCAGTCACTCGGTAGGGTCTATGCAATTTTTATAATGTTAAAAGGTTTTATATTTGAATTAAATTATAAACTTATTTGTTTTGTTGAGAGTGAAGTGAGAGAGCCTGCCCACACACGCTTCCGATTGGCTGTGAAATTTGTTTGATTTTGTGTGTTGCTTAACCATGTTGCTTCAGGTGTGGACAGACAAATTGCTTGCCACTGGAATATTGCCAATATTGCGGTGTTAGTCTGCGGGTTAAAGTGATCCTTTTCTCCTCTCTGAATGCGATTTTTACGAAGGGGAAAACCGCGGGAAAAAAATATGTGATTGGGCTATTTTTGATAGCAATTGGGCTGGTTTTGTTTCACATACCTGGCAACCCTGGTTAGAAAATGAAACCTAATCGATTTTGACAGTCTCTTAACAATTCTCGGATGTGTATTTTTCCACATATATATGCAGACGGAACATCTTAATAAATCAGTTTTCAAAATGTTTCAAAATTCCACTCGACCAAGTGTACACTGATTCCCAAGCAAATGATTGCTATAAGCCAGTTCTTTAAATTATTAAAAAACTTATTGTAATTGTCATTTTCACAATGAACCAAAAAATGTTACTGGATGTTATGCCAATAATAACAATAATAATAATAATAGTGTATATGATTCCCATCCATAACTGTATGTTGTATATTTCTTCTTTCATATGTAATCGTTAGCCAAATATGTAGCTGTTGTGGTTCTTATGGTTGTGTGTTATGAGGTTATGTCGGTCTTTGAGGTAAAATCCTCTGACATTTACCTTTGATTGATCAATCAACTCTCGTGTTTGTTCATATAGTTCGGTCTCATTTCCTCCTTGGTTTAATTCAGTAGGTTTGCACCAGTTCAAACAAATCGGATGCAAGTCCTTATCACAGGCATACCGTCCATTCCAGTCTGTGAATCCACATGCAAGATAATCACCATCAATTAGAAATATACAGATCCACACAATCGGTGGAATCAGACAAGCCATCAAAACGGTCTCAAAACTCTGCCTCGTTTCTTCAGACTGATATATTGCACTTTTGTTCTGTTCTTGAGATTGTCCACTTTTGTCTTCTTCCTGAGAGGCTTCATTGTTGTCCTGACCTTGCGTTCTTCCACCACTGTTCTGTCTTTGTGAATAGCTGCATTTATATTTACAAGGCCTCAAAAGCATGAACATTATGACGAAAGCAAAGAGACTGGGTACAATGAAGAGGAAACCTGATATAAGTGCGTTCCACTTAACTTTGCATGGGCATGAGAACTGGACATCAAGCAACGCCTGCAAACCCAACAACATAAAGCTCAATGGAACAGAGGTGATGGCATTTTTCTTGGAAATCAGCTTAATTGCTGCTTTAAAAAAGGTTTTTAGTTGCATCTTCAAAGCCGTAGGAATTCTGTCTTAAGGCTGTTCCTCTCTTACAGTTTGTGGAAATGTCTGTAGTTTCTTCCACAAGATAGAATAGTGAGATCCTCTTCAATGGAAAGAACAAGAATCATTTTCAACATTTCTTCAATATAGGTATTACAACAGCAGAGTAAAAAAAGTGTTTTTAAACTTACTCATACAGGTGATAAGGATGTCGCAAACAGGTAAGTGTTGTTTGATCTTTTTCCTTTCTTCCACATTTATACTTTCACTCTTTCGATACTTGCCATTGGTCAGCCGATCCTTCAATCTCAATTACTAATTCTGATTTGTGCATTCAGAATCTGGGGAGAAGCAAACAGTTATAAACGTCACATTGCGCAACGACAGGTTTCAGATTTCTAAATACAACAGGAGCGATCGCCAGCCCCCCTGTGCATTTTGAGAGTTATAGTACATTTGAATAGTCAGTGTGGGAATTCATGTTCTTATGAAAAAAGCTGAAAGGCATTATCATCTATTGATGAGTTTGGAGACAGTTAACGGTTTTGATGTTTTTTTGTTGTTGTTTTGTGTGTGTGTGTGTGTGTTATAGATTTGTTTTTTTTTTCCAACTTGTTTCCACTTTTAAAACTTGTTTACCTTATGAATTAAAATGCTAGAGAAGGTTACATTTATGTTTTTTTTCCAGTAAAAATGAATTTCAGTCATTGCTGTCAAAGATTGTTGTTTCACCTTAATTTTACTCTTTAATGCAGACATATGGTACAAATAGCTCTTTAGTTTACATTTGTTAAGCCAAGTTTAAAAGAATTCAATATATTAAACAACATTTTAAATGAGTGAGTCACATTACTTTGTGAGTAACATAAAGACAATATTTTAAAACAACCATTGGGTTTACATTGTTTTAACTGTTTATTATATTTCACATCCACACTATTATCATACATTTTACTTTACACAGTTAGAAGGTCAATTTTAATTGATATAGTTACACCAAGACAATACAGCAAACCACAAAGGTGCATTAGCAAATGATTCATCAGGTACAAATGCAGTGAATCCAGATAGTTTTGTCAAAACAGCAGACATCATCCTAGAAATGACCCATCATCCAAGTTGTTCCCTGTAACAGTCTTAATCTAGGTGCATTTGTATGCAGATCACCCTGATGAGTTCAGACGGGCCACTGTAGTTCAACCTCTGAACCGTAGATGGATGCCTCTGATAGTTGTGCTGGTTTATCCCGCTTTTCCTGATGCTCCAGACATCTTGTTCTACAATCCCAACAGTTTACAGCAGCAATGACAACAATGACGAGGAATGTGAGCAGAACTAAAGCTGAAAACTAATAAACACACAAAAGTAAGAAAAAATAATATATATAGTTGACAATATGGTAAAATATTGTACAGTAGACTCACCCTTGAGTAGAAAATGATTTTTTTGATGAGTTCTCGCAGTTCTGTTTTATTCACTTTACCGTCCCTTACTCCAGTGGGTTTGCACCATTTAATCTGGAGCTCTTCATCCAAGACGTAATCTCCTTCCCAGTGTGCCATGCCACACGCAACATATTCACCCTCAAACAGCAACAGAAACATCCACAATGAAGGCGGAATCAGACTAAATAAAAAGAGCCCAGCACAATGAGAAGATGAACGTCTGCAAGGTCTTTGGATGAACATCATCATAGTCAGAGCCAGAAGAGCAGGTCCAAGAAAGATGAAGCTGATCAGCACCATGTTAAACCCAGGGTTACATGGGCAGGAAAATTCCTGATCTATCAACTTCTCCAGACCAATTAGTGCAAAGCAAAAATGCAGCGCACCAAAATAAGCTGTTTTTCCTTCTGGTTTTTCGGAATTGTTTGAAAACAACTCAAGAGACTTTGAAGTTCACTGGCTTACTTCAGACCGAATGAACGACTGAGACCTTTTAAACAGTAAAGATCATATATATTTGTTTACAGAACAATGTGTATCAGCGAATCTCATATACAGGGATTTGGGATGTTTATTATTAACTATTTACATGGTCATTAATCATAAACTATGAGACAAGGAACATTGAAAAAGAACAATGGCATGCAAATGGGAGTAAACTTCATTCTTTTAGATTGGGAGTAAATCAGACACGCTCCATTGAGATAAATTCAATGAAATTCATCAGAACTAAATTAGATTGTGTTTGTCCAACAAAATGAAAACAAACAGCATTATCCCATATCATGGTACATGACAGCATACAGCAAATATTTACATCAGATCAATCTCTGGTAAACTCATATCATTAAATTAGAATATCATTCATATCATTCATTAGATGTTACTGTGTTAGTGACTTCTCACAAAGATGAACAACAAAGGATACATAAAAACACAACTGTAAAAAAGCAAATAAATGTCATGACAAAAACACAGTCATATTAAAAATTGCATTTCAGGCCTTATAGGGATAAGAGCACTTTGAAAACTGCTTAACTGATACAATGATTTTACAATATTACAATGATAAACTCTAATTACATTTAGTTTTAACATGCTAAATATCCTAAAACATTTCATTAATAAACTGATCTGAATTGAAAATACATTTTTAAACCCAAATTCTTCAGTGGAGACTTATTTTATCGTTGCTGTTTCTTTTCTTACACTGAACAAAATTATAAACGCAACACTTTTGTTTTTGCCCCCATTTTTCATGAGCTGAACTCAAAGATCTAAGACTTTTTCTATGTACACAAAAGGCCTATTTCTCTCAAATATTGTTCACAAATCTGTCTAAATCTGTTAGTGAGCACTTCTCCTTTGCCGAGATAATCCATCCACCTCACAGGTGTGGCATATCAAGATGCTGATTAGACAGCATGATTATTGCACAGGTGT